CCGAGCAATGATAGTTAAAGCCATTTCCGGAAGCTATAAGCGCTTGCGGACCTACACAGCCACCTAGGAGCAAAAAACGATCAGTTCCAGAATGCTTTTTGACATGACTCTAGTCGAGTGGAGAAGCTTCTTCTTATATGTATCCGAATTTATTGTACGAATGAAAACAGGTTGTTGCTGCCATCTCTAGAGGCGTTCTTGCGTTCACCAAGTTCAAATTAAGTAATTGCCCATCTTTCGTTCCGGATAAGTGTTCTTGACAACTGATTAGCCCAAACACGCCTTACATAAAAAAATGTCAGTAGGAAATAATCCGACTGAACAAAATCAAGGTTATAAATAGGGTTCGGAGTTTTCGGTTTAAACCGATAAAAACCGATAAAAGTACGCCGAATTCATCTTCGGAAATTCGGTTTTAACCGGAAAAGGTCAGTTTTTAAGTTCGGCAGTTTCGATTTAAACCGATAAAAACCGATAAAATTTCGTCGAATCCGTTTTTTTAAATTCAGTTTTAACCGGAAAAGGTCACTTTGACCGTCCAGTCGTACCGCAGAGCCGTGGCGAGCGTTTTGTGAGGAAGACCAGTCAGTCTTCCTCACAACTCGTTGTGAGGAAGACTGACTGGATGAAAGCTCTGCATGTTGTGTCGTGCTTCAAAACGTCGCACCGTGTCTCTTTCGGCGATTTTGGCTCAGGCAGCGCGTCATCTCCTCAGCCTGCCAGCGTCCAGTGTTAGCGTTGAGAGGGTGTTCTCGAAGCTCGGGGTCATATATTAACAGAAAAGAAATAGTGTGGATCAAGAAGGAGAACCTGGGAAAGTACATGTTTGTGTGTACTATAATGAGATCACGTATTCCTGATGTACAGAAGGTGAGGTTCCATGTTTTTGGGGCATAGGCTTCATATCTGACTTGTTTGTACTTCTGCGTTTTTTTCTTGTTTCTTTTACAGTTGCACACATTTGCCAAATGAAGTGTCCATTTCTTTTTCAATGTATCTGTGCCGTTATTCTTTGAGTAATCACAAATATCAGAGCTAGGTACGAGGATCATCTGATCCGGTATCCGTTGGTGTTTATTTTATATTCACCGAAAAAAGCCGATAAATTTTTTGCTGGCATAAATATACGCCGAAAAAAACCGAAAATTGAATTTTAAAATAAACACCGAAAAAAGTACGCCGAATTTTGAAAAAATAGAAACCGAAAACGCAGAACCCTAGTTATAAAGCATATCACTTCCACTTCAAAATTGAGGTAGATTATGTGCGTGATTATCAATGTTCGGTACATATTTTTTTTTATTTGAAAACTTATTAAGCACAAGTTTTCACGTCGTGTTCGTTGCCAATTTGTATTATGAAAATAGGAATTTATAGGAAGACATTCTCGACCACATGTTTTATTTTAGTCACTGAGAAAAACTTGGATGCAAGTGCAGCATTCATATGCGTGATTGTCATGTCACTATAGCGACTTTATATCTTTTATTTTTGTCACAATCAGCGGGCCAGTATTATTTTGGTCAAAGGAGGGATTACTGTTAAGCTTTATTTCTGTTTCATCAAATCCACTTTCAAACGTGCTTATTTTAAATAATGGCCATAGATCAGTGCTTTAAATGCACTGCAGGGTGTTACGCAGAAATACGTTGAATAGTTTTATTTTTTTTGTAGTAAAAATGCATGGTTTTTCACCTGCTTCCTTGGTCAAGCTCGCATTGGCACCTTTTAAATAAAAATAATTAAAAAATCTTCCTATGATATTTTTTGTTAGTCTGTAGAAATTCCTTAAGCGTATTTCGTATTATTTCATGGATGATTAGGCCATTGTTGACAACTTTTAATGCATTACCGGTAAACGTATAATCTATATGATTATCGTACAATTGCATATGCATCTTCTTTGTGGTAGCCACGTAATTTTTAAATTGCGTTGTTTTGGATCATTCACATATATTCTACATCATAATTCCTGCGATTATAAAAAAACTGGGTGTTTGAGAATGTATTAAGTTTCTCAAAAATAAATGATTATTATAAAAATGAATTAGAAATGTAAACGTTTTGCATGGGAGAATATAAGATGCATAATATTGAAATTTATGTCCCAACCAAGTTGGCGAAGCTCGCAACGTATAGCCGGACACTTGTTTAGGCGTTGGAAATAATCGAATTCTGCACATCACTTCTGCACTGATATATTTATCACTTATAATTTTACACGAGAATACAAAAAAAAAAATCACCTCGACGACGTTAAACGCACCCATCCTAGAACCAAAACATTGGTTCAATGTCCAGCATGCTTATCGGCGGTTGGCTGACACACGCAAACGGCTTTACTTTTTCTATACGCCTCAACTATCTCTCTTGATAATTATAATGTTGAAACAGGATGACATTGTCACCAAAACAAGGTTCATGCGCGCAGTCTCTGCGGTGCAATGCCACGTGTAAGGACGAACGCCCTTTTATCAAACTTCGGTGTTCTTGTCACTGTTCTGTCACCGGTCTGTTCGATATAAACGCGACCTCGCTTGACGATCTCATGCACTACGCCCATGGCACATGTCACATAACTATTTCCATGTTTTATAGTGCATTCTCACTTTTCTGATTTTTCGTTGTACTTCCTGCCCGCCTTTCAACAAAGGTGGTAAAAGTTACTTTAAAAATATACCTAAGATACAGTTACAGTTACTCCAACGAAAAGGTACTTAGGTAAGCACCTAGGTACTTGCTTAAAGATGTACCTAGTCACAGGTACAGTTACTTAAAAGATACTGTCTTTATTTATCTTCCCCAAATTTGTAAAAATATATTGGAAGTAGAGCTTTTTATACTAAGCATACACTCAAAAACGAGTTTGATAAATGTGCTTTATTGGTGCCAATGCGATGTCCACATCGGTGTTGAGTCCTCACGTGCCTTGTCCCCACGCTCCAATTGGTTCACCGAGGCCACAGCTTCCACTCTTTACCATGTCACACCGGAACCGCTGAAACTCGCTTATTGACGTTCTTGCCCTCAGAGCCGGTGCTGACGCCGACGGGCCCAGAAGACGTCGGCCGCATGAAGAGACGCATGAGTCGAGTGCATATGCCCCTAACCTTTGCGACGACGAGCGAAAGGCTTCAAGCTTCCTGATTTTATTTTTTCTTTCGTTAATCAGTACAAAAAGGAGTTTTTTTTTTCTTCTTTCGGAACTTTCTTAGTTTTGATAACTGCAAAATTTAAGTCCGATTTATTGAGTGGAAACTGTATTATATATGCAATGTTACTTTGCTTTACGATTGTAATAATAATTTATTTGTAATTATATTTTATATTGTATTTATGGCAGAACAGTGCCACCACCAGGATAAGATATGGGCAACAGAAACTGCGCACATCGTTCACGTTATCTCCTCCCTTGTATAGTACTCAGAGGAGCTTCAAGCACGCAATGAAGTCGATTTTAGTTTGAGAGGAAGGAAGCAGGTCGCTATTTTTCCTAAACGGAGTTCCGAAGCGATTAAATAAATTGGTGTCGCTAGAACGGCATCGCTAATTCACCGTTCGCTCAAATGAACACCTACATTCACTAAAGTGTGTCGTTTGATGAAACATCATAGGCGGGGCTTCGTTCGCTAAAACGTCCTTCAATCAAGCCAGTGCCTCCAATGCCGTACCCAACTCAATGTTAATCACGGCACATGGTAGTGGGTTAAAACTTCAAGATTTATAGTTTCTACCATTTTGACGAAGTGAATAGAAAAGTACCTGTGAAAAGTAACTTCTCGTAGTTACAAGTTACTGGAAAATGTACCTAAGATACAAATACAGATACCGAGAAATTAAAGTACCTAGGTTTGTACCTCAGGTACAACAAACGTACCTAGATACCGATTTCCAGGTACTTGCACCTAGGTACTTTACAACCCTTCTTTCAACGTTGAAAGGCGGTCAATCAGGTAAAAGGAATCTGAGTTTACTGTCATCAATTGATGGCCTCTGAATTTTACTGATAACCCTCTCGTATAGCCACAGTTATTCTCAGATCGTCATAAACTATTTTATCGTTACTATATTGTAGGAACATGATTGTCTAGATATATTTTTATGTCCGTATACTTCATGAACAATCAAAGGGGATATTTACTTCATCCACATTAATACTTCATTTTCATTATACCTCTAAATGTTGCGTACGCATAGTGCGTACGCATACGGTTATGATTCCTTTGTTTTTGAACTACGCTTAATGTCCGAGTGCATTACTCAGCTTCTGAAAACTCGCATTGTTAGGTTATGTATTGACCGGGACATTTCCAAATAAAACACGGCACCTGACAAATTAAATAAAAATAATATGAGAACAAAATTCGTAGAGAGCTAGGAGCATATTGTTTAACGTATATTGCATTTCAGATAATCAATTCTGAGGAGAGGACAGTAAGAACCAAACACGAAAGAGAGATCAGCCTCTTTGGCCTTCATGTCATGCGGTTCAAATGTCCTACTTCCCATGCTTTCTGATTTTATATAAGAATGCACAGTCCAATGTTAAGACGAATGCTGTTTGTTTCTTCCGCAGACTCCAAAAGGAGGAGCATTAAATAACCGAAACATATGCAAGAGAACAGCATTCCATCAGCTTTTGTAGAACAATACTCCACATTGTTCTTGACGTCAAAATAGCTGTCGTTCGTAATTGAATTAGGGCCTCTTCGATCAGAAAATATTTATGAAAGACGCGACTAATTCCCTTCTCTCGCCATCTCTTCGATTTCTACCTTCAAACTTACCAATTTATATATTCATGTGGGCACGCACTAAAACAATTGGAATTATATAATTTGTGCAAATGTAAATGAAGATAGTCTATCAAATTAAAAGCCGAAAACCTCTGAGTTTTTTAAATGTCCCCCACCAAAATCTTTATCAGGCTTTTAAAATTAAAACGCCTAGTATTTTCTTAGATTGAAATGCTTTTCAAGATCATAGTGAACGGTCCGACGCAGGCGCTTAAATAATTTATTTCTCTCAGTCTTGAACGGTATCACATATATGTGTGGAACCCCAAAATACTCTGCTAGAGCGTTATTTCACCCTCTTGTCTGCCTGTGCAAGGTTCAGCATATTGACGTATCCAGCATTCAGAGATTCTGAAAAGCAACAATACAAATTTTGAGGGGGGCGTCGAAGAAACAATGAACTGATATTCAGAAGATAAACAAAAGTATACTAGATACACGTTCTTTCCTACAGTAAATGCAGGCTGAAATTAGCCACTACAAATATCTAGAATATCTGCGTAGAATAAGCCATATTTAAATCCACACAACCTTCTAGTTTTACCGCTCAAAAAGTAGTCTCATTATTCATCTGCTCGTGCTGACACATCCAACATTTCAGACTAATCCAATTTGACCCTATTGTTTGCATTAACAATTACAGAACAGCTCCCTTCTCCGCGCCAGCTCAAGTGTCGAAGGCATGATAAATATACTACAAAATATTAGTCGACAATATTGTTTTAACTTACATTTCTTTCTCCGCAGAAGGGTTGTGTAGTCATTGAAGTCACCAAGGCCATAGCCATAGTTCAAGCCGTAGCTACCAAGTCCATATCCATTGCCGTAGTTTCCAAAACCGTAGTTGAGATTTTGAACGTCAAAATTGTAATCAAGTCCTGGGGCTGGAGACGCTGCGGTAAAGGCTGGAGTGGTATAATGCGTAGCCACACCTGGAAGAGCCTGCAAGGATGCGATTGATGGGCCTATCCCAATGTTGAGAGGATCAGTTTGATACAATCTAGTCACTGTTGGAGCAGCAGAATATGTGGACACATCTGGAGTGGCTTCTAAAGTCGGAACATCTGGGGCGGCGCGATGAGTGGTGGTTGCTTCCTTTAACGCGGGGGCAGAGTGGAGAGTTACCACGCCTCTTGCAGCTCCAGACGTGTCCGTACCTCCTCCAGAATGGACAGCTGATGCGGTCGCCGGAGCGTCCTTCTGTGACGTGGATACTTTGGTGACAGTTGGAGCTACATGCACGGTGGAAACACCTGGGGCAGCAGCGTAGGTCACTATGGCTGGAGCTGGGTGCACAAAAGGAACAGCCGGAGCGGACGGATACGTGGTGGATACCTGGGTGACTGCTGCAATGGCACGCACACCAGCAATGTCTGAAGAACTAGCGTAGGGAACCACAACAGGAACAGAGTGTACAGTTGAAACGGCTGGAGCTGCGTGGAAGGTAGTAGAAACTTTGTTGACACTCGAAGAAGCATCCACGCCAGCGATAGCCGTATCAGTGTGCAGTACTGCAACAGCCGGAGAACTGTGTACTGTTGAGGCGACTGGATGATCTTCGGAGATGGTGGAAACTTTGGTGACAGTCGTGGCAGCCTGCATGCTGGGTATTTCTGGAGCAGCTTCCACGGCTGATGCAGAATGAATGACCTTGGAAACTCCTAAAGCACTCGCATGTGTTTCTAATACAGGAGAATCGTGGACAGAGGATATCACTGGAGCCGTATGATACGTGGTGGAAACAACTGTGGGACCCGTAGAATCTCCTGTACCTACGGGCACGGCTTGTGCGGTGGCGATGGATGGCACGGCATGATAGCTTGTAGCCTTGGTAACAATGGGAGTGGCGACAGCATTCTCGAAATCTGAAGACCTGACAGCATAGTCCGTGTGGGTTGTGCCGATCAATGCAGCTCCGTGTCCGGCCAAGCCAGCTGCCTCATAGATATGTCCGTGGCTGAGATCACTCGGGAGGAGGCCAGCGAACACGTCGCTAGCGAGAGCCAAGACAAGGCAGGCGTGGAGCTGCAATATTAGATATTGTGATTATGAGAGTGCAGAAATACGTGCAACAGTTTATGTTCTGAATATAATCCGATTTTTGTTTTCTTAGGCGCATTGTTTTCTATAATTCGTTCTCTAATTAAATTTGTGAAGTTAATTTTCCGTTATGTAAATAGAAACATATATATTTGATTTATAAACTTGCTAAGTGTAATTAAAAGCCACTACATTTCTAAATTTTAGGAAAGCTTGGAGCACGTGGGAGGCTCGATGGGGCCCATAATGTATAATACTTGGGCTGCAGGCACAGGATTGGCAAAAAAAACAAAGAAACATGCAATTCATAAAAAAAAAACTAAAAAAAAACAAGGAAGGCTGCTAGGCCTTGTCAATTTTAGATGCATTTTTTGGTCTCCAAAATAAAGAAGCACCTCTTTCAAATAGTTTTAAAGTTGAGTTATTCAGTAAATTTGAATGAAGTCAAAATTGTTCTCTAATTAAAATATGTGATTATTTCAAGATTAAAAAGCAAAATGTGCAAAAATGCTAAGGAAGTTAGAATAAAGGCTATAGCTCGATTACTAGGACTCCTGACAATGGCAAATACGCGAAGAAGTATTCTTGCTGTGGGTTGAGCAGATATGCTCATAAATGTTAACCAAAGTCCGATGAAACATCTGGTGTTATACATTTAATTAAGCAATGATAAAAATATGTTTGTTTTAAATATACTTTGTCTAGAGTTAAACGGCTCTATGAAGCAGTAGTCCGTTAAGCTACAGGAGAGAACTTCAAGTGCACGTTGAGGAAAGACACTGTAGAAAACAAATTAGAGAACTACGAATGCAGATCAGTTTTGTTCACAGAGCCCCGGAAAAGATATAATTATGTTGACTCTGAAACTATTGCTTAAATCAGAGTGACCCAAAAAGAGTATTAATTTTTTGCTTTTTTTATTTGTTAAACACGTGCTTCTTTATAACGTTAGTATTAGCAAAGTTCTAATAAGTGATTTCGAAAGATACTTGCCCCACTCATATTTTGTTGACTTAACGCTGTCGGTTACAAGCTTAGTAATGCAGCGAGAATTACCGGGCGCTCTTTTATACGGGTAGTCTGTAGAAAATTTTGCTTTAGCCGAGAGTATACGGAGAGATGGCTCACCAGTTCTTTCCAAATAGAAAGGTTAGAAATAAAAGATAAAGCATTTGTTGAATATACTTGAGTATTTTGCCAAGTTGGATACGAAATTTTTTTATGTTTCTTAGGAAAGCAGCTAGTACCCCAGGATGAAAGTTTGCAACAGTTTCAAATTAAGGAATGTTAATGTATTTCATACGTTCTGTAGTGTGTCGTGTATTGCATTTTATTTTCATTCTAGATAAAGATATTTTTATTTCGTTGTTTTCCAACTCGTGCGCTTCGGCCTAGTAATTATTCAGCTCACACTTACTACGATCGTATGTCCTTGCGTTATGTAATATTTAAAGATACCTCTCGTCTGCGCTTGTGCACGAAATCAAATACCAAGTGTGCAATTGAGTTAAACTTAACCCCTAGCATTCGTTCCCTAGAGATGTGCTAGCTTTGACGCAAAAAATAAATACTCTTAGATAAGATACTATGGACATCTGAAACAAAAGCCAGATTTGCAAAACGAATATATTTTCGTAATACGTGTAACGCAAAGTTACTAACTCCTAGGCAGCAGGAGTGGTTACGCACTAACTCATTTCGTTACTAGAGCTGCAATGAACGGCCATGGAGCACATGTCTGAAAAAACTGTCTGATTAGTTTCTTTGTATAGAGGGAGCAAGGGTGCTCCATTTCTTACGCGTAGATGGTAGTCACAGTGGTATCAAGTAATCATAGCGATTAGTACAGTTTATGTGGGTCTAGCTTCGCCTCATTAAATAGAAGGGTCGTTGTTGCTGATGATGATTATGATGATATTGCGGCTCTGTCCATTTGAACGGGCGAGCCCAAAATGAGTTGTACGAAAGTCTGGGCCCAGTATGTCTCGATTTCTTCCGAGTTGACCAATCCTCCACCAGTCCTCTAGTCGTTTTTTGGTAGCCTCTACTGTAGGCCAGTGCGGGCCGCTTGAGGCGAGCGACGACTTTGTAGCAGGGATACCCGCCTGTTCCCTTCGCCCTCTTTTGTCGAAATGCTGCGGTTTCCCTGTCGGTATAAGGAGTCGAACGCCTTAGCAACTGCCCGGACACTCCTATTATGTGAGCCGTTCTTCTCTGGCATGATAAAGCTGCACACCCTTACAATCTAGAACGTTGTGCGCCACCGTTTCCTCATGTACCCCGCACGCCCTGCAGGTACTCATGATCACAGAGTCGTCGAACAGCCGTCTTTGAGGCAACGTCCAGAGGGCCCCACTTGTGCTTCAAAAAGCAGGTGACTGCTCAGACTATTATCATAGAGTGATCTCCGAAGCGATGTCTGACAGCGACACCTTACGGGCCCCTATATGTGTCCCCATGACTGATTTTGTATGGGACAATGCGGCATGAATACGTCAAATGCTCGATGCAAAGGAGCGTCACATTGTTTTCTTGGAAGCGGGACTTCCAGTGCCCTTTATTTTTCTGGTTTCATAATTGTGCGCTTGAGGACTCTGTACTGCCTATAAACTTCACTGAATAGCACAAAGCACAACACGATGTTGAAAATATTACTATTTTTATGAACACGTTGAGAAGTGCCACCAACATTCAATAGTAAAAGGGTAGTGGGTAAAATGCATGTACTTCTTTTGCTGCTGTCACGCTAGAACAGTTCCCTAATTTCCGTCGTGGATGTGAAAGGTAGAAAAAGATAATTATTTCTCAAAAGTTTTCTTTCTTTTGCAGGAAACATATAATTTATAGGGCTGTATCGTGTTTGCTACGTCACGGGATACGCGCCGAACTTGTTGTCGGGGCTCATACTCTGTTATCGTGACGCACGCTGTGTAGCAACTTTGATCTTTCCCTTTCTTTACCTTCTTTCCACAACACCCTACAAATGCGACAACTGAATAGACAAACGTGTTCTTATTCTGCCCGGAACTGAGTCGTTCACGTCTTCCATAGAAACACACCGAAACATGGAGTCAGAGGTGGTCACGCACGGACCCGGCCACTAATCAGCGGCTGGCGGCCCAGGAGAACTGGCATGGATATTGTGAAACCACCGGAGCACCTGCGGCTAAGTGGTGACATCGTAAAGAACTGGCGCCTCTTCAAACAGAAGTTTGAACTATTTGTGACTGCGTCAGCTCCAGGTGAAAAGCCTTTACCACGACCCACGCAGACCGCACTGCTACTAAGTGTAGCTGGCGACGACGCCTTGGAAGCCTACAATAACTTCATCTTCAGTGAAGGTGAATGCCAGCAGGATTATGCGACCATCATCAAAAAGTTCGACGAGTACTGCGCAGCGCAGTTGAGCGAACTGCACGAAGGCTACCTGTTTCGCCAACGTGTGCAAGCCAAAGGTGAGCCGTCAGAACAGTTCATCAAAGATCTAAGGAAGCTGGCACAATCATGCAACTTCAGCACTATCACGGACTCTATGGTACGTGACCAAATTGTTTTTAAAACGAACAACGACAACGTCCGCGAAAAACTGCTGCGCAACAACAAACTGACGTTGGCGAGAGCGGAAGAAGTGTGCGAGGCGGCCGAGTTATCGGACGCTCAGAACGAGCTTTGGGCACGCGAACGACAAGTTAGCGAAGGAAAGGCTACACCGAGCATCGAACCGCATGCAGCACAGAACTACGGCGGAGCGCAAGAGCGACACGTCGACTTTGCAAGGACGCGGTTGAGCAACGACGAGCCACTGGGATGGTTCAAGTGCCGAAAGTGTGGGTGAAGACACGGCCCACGGAACTGCCCAGCATTTGGACGCACCTGTCGGCGATGCGGAGGAAAAAACCATTTCGCTGTACGCTGCAACAACAACAAGCAAATCTCGAAAATCAAAAGCAACGAAGAAGACTTCCACATCCTCGACGTCTCGGTCGACAGTCTCATGCGCCAACGCGACTGGGTGGTCCAAACACAAGTGGCGAACAAGGTACTCGAACCAGGGTGGCCAGTTCCGCTTATTATAAGCGGATTTAGGCTTTCTTTTTCACCGAGTCGCTGGTAGATCTTTCCAGTCGCTTGTCGCGCTTTTTGGGCTTATTCGCGTTTTTTCAGCGAATATTGCTATTTTATTGCTCGTCGTGCTCATTGACAGCGCGTTTGTCGTCAAAAACGCGAAAAACTGTATGACAGTTTGGCGCCGCGGTTAGGTGGCGCAAGCTACCGCCCGTCACAAAGTACAAAACAATTACTATACATTCACAAATGTTTTGGCGCCTTGCTCATCTTGCTAGTCGGCAGTCGCGGTCGTCGCGTCTAGTTGCCATTGTGTTTTTCGCAAAATGGCTTCGAAGTGGTCGAAGTATGGCAAAAGATATTGTAAAGTGTGGGAAAAGAAAACACAGCTTAAGGACTCGCTACGACCAGTCACAGGAGACGATAAGAAAGCAGCGTGCAAGTGCGAGATCCGCGCTCATCATGCCGACCTCGTTCAGCACATGGCAACAGAAAAACACGTGAGGAACTCTCGGCCACTTTCCAGTGCAAGTTTGACTACCATGGACTTCACCAAGTCGTCGCCATCAAGAACGATACCAGAACTGGAGCTCAAGCTGGCATGTTATAGGGAGGCTCAATAGCATGTTACTCAGCGTGCCATGCCACTATACGGCGGAGAGTGGCATGGCACGTTGACTTCGTATTTGAGGGAGTTTGCCTCCGTATTTGAGCCAGTTCTCTTTCTCATTTTATTATTAATAAACTATTTTCAAAAATCTGTACATAATTGAACTTACGCTTGTTTTGGGCTTCTTCACGAAGGTCACGCCGCTTTTTTTGGGCTCGGTTCGGGACGACTATTTCCTTATTCGCTCGGCCGCATCTGGCCACCCTGGCTCGAACTCAAGGTGGACACAGGCGCTCAAGCCAATCTTCTGCCATACCACATGTACCGAAGATTGCAACCAAGGATGCAATTGAAGGCCAGCAACTCCGTGCTACGTTCTTACGACGGAGGGGTCATCAAGCACCTTGGAGTGTTTAAAATAAAAGCCACCATATGCAGCAGGTCAGCTGACATTGACTTTTTTGTGGGAAAAAAGGGACGCAAAGCCATACTAGGCCTTCACGCCAGTGAACTGCTGGGGCTGTTTAGACGGTCGGTCAACGCCGTGACGGCAAGCAGCAGCGATCAACTGGTGAAAAAGTTCCATCAAATCTTCACCGGCACTAGGTGCCTTCAACGGCCATACAAGATGGTGCTCCGGGAGGACGCTGTTCCCGTCGCTCAGAAGACCCGACGTGTGCCTCTCGCCTTGCAAGAGCCACTCCGACGAGAACTCGACCGGATGCTGAAGGCAGGCATCATTGTCAAAGCAGAGGATCCGACGGACTGGGTGAGTCCCTTAGTGATTGTAATGAAGAAAAACGTAGAACCAAGAGTGTGCATGGACCCAAGAAAAATCAATGAATGCTTGATGCGCGAACACTACGAGATGCTGCGGCAAGAAGACATCGAGGCAGAAATCGCGGGAGCAGTATTTTTCTCCCGTTTAGACGCTAACTGGTGCTTCCACCAAATACCACTAGACCACGAGGCGTCCAGAATTTGCACGTCCACGACTCTCTTCGGCCGTTATCGATTTCTGAGACTGCCGTTCAGGAGTGCGTCGGCCTCGGAAGTTTTCCAAAAGACAATGAGCCAGATATTTGACGGGATAGCGGGGGTACGGGTTTATGTCGATGACATTTTGATATGGGTTGCCACAAGAGAGGAACACGATGAAAGACTGAGAGCTGTGCTGGAAGCAGCACGCAATGCAGGTCTCACATTCAACGCCGCATAGTGCGAAATAAGGGTGACAAAAATTTCCTTTTTGGGTGACATAATCTCCGAGGAGGACATCCGGCCAAGTCCCGCCACCGTGAGCTCCGCGCTTGACATACCACCACCCACCGATAAGCTAGGATTGCAGAGAATTCTGGGCGTTGTTAATTACTTCGGGAAGTTTCTGCCAGCGCTTGCTGAAAAAACACAACTGATGCGCCAGCTAATAAGGAAAGACTTGATGTTCGAGTGGAGCGAAAATCATGGAAAAGAATGGAACGAGCTTTGCAAGTGCCTGAGCCTGTAGCCTGTGTTGGCCGTTTTCGACCCGCAAAAGAGACACAAAAATAGCGTCGGATGCTTCTCAGAATGGCATAGGGTCAGCTCTTATGCAGCGCCACTGGGAAGCATGGAAACCAGTTGCTTCTGCCTCACGTGTACTAATAGAGACACAGAAAAGATACTCGCAGATTAAAAAAAAAAAAAAAGAAGCAATGGCGGTTTTATATGAATGCGAAAAATTCCATCACTTCGTGTATGGGCGATAAGTGATTCTCAAAACCGATCACCGCCCGCTGATAGCAATCTCGCAAAAGGCAATTGGTGACATGCCGCCGCGTCTGCGTCGGTTTTTCCTTCGTTTGGTGAAATACGGTTTTCGGCTCCAGTTTATTCCAGGAAAACAGCTGGTGCTGGCGGACATGCTGTAACGAGCTCCAGTCAGCAGTCCACACAAGGACGAAATCAACGAGGACGTGGAAGTACATGCCATGAGGGTTGCGACTTACCCGTCAGTAAAGCGACTCGTGTACGGTTATCACAAGAAACGAATAACGACAGTTATTTGAAGAGCGTCATGGAATGTCTAAAAGCCAACCGTCCCGTAGAGGGACAGCTTACGCCCTTCTCACAAGAATTATTAGTGGTGAACAATGTGTTGTTTAATGGTTGCAAACCTGTGGTGCCAACCAGCGTGCGTCCTGAGATACTGCGCAGAATACTTGATGGGCACATGGGACTTAACAAGTGTAAATCACAAGCACGCCGTGTCGTCTCGTGACCTGGTCTTAATGCAGACATTGACGACCTTGCGAACAAGTGCGAAGGCTGCAGAAAGTACGCTTACAAGCAACCTAGTGAGCCTCTCATGATACGCCCTGTTCCTGAGTACGCGTGGTACAGAGTCGGTGTCGAAATTTTTTAGTATGCCCGGAGGTCTTACCTGTGCGCGTACGACGCATTATCACACTTCCCAGAAGTAGAATTGCTACGCGAGACATCAACCGCTACAGTCATCTATAAACTAAGTGCGATGTTTGCAAGGTATGGCATCCCAATAGAAGTATGTACCGATGGGGGGCCGCAGTTCACGAGCCGAGAATTTGCCAGCTTTGCATAGACATTTTGATTTTAAACAGATCATTTCCAGCCCTAGGTTTCCTCGCTCAAACGGCCTAGCGGAAAGGGAGGTGTAGGTGGTTAAAATAAATCTTAAGAAAACGACCGAAGGAAAAAACGATTTCTGGCTTGGACTGCTCAGTTACAGGTCCAGTCCTTTGGAAGAAGGCAAGTCCCCAGGAGAGCCGCTTCAAGGTCGACAACTGCGGACGTCAATACCAGACTTCAACAAAACACCACGCACAGTGGTTGAAAAACATCATCAAACACAGCCGAAGAGGAGTCATCTTTCAGCATTGCAAGGACAAGTGGTCTGTATCAAGGGCGACACATGGGCGATGAAGGCGAAGGTAATCAACAGAACGCGGCCCAGGTCTTATCAAGTCGCCACAGAAAATGGCAACGTTCTACGACGTAATCGCCAACATCTGCTAGCAACGAAATAACCGTTCAACTGTTCCGAAGAATACTGCTCGGATGAAGAAAACTCAAACGACGAGACACCGGAACAACTTCAACGACCCTCAGGTAGCGTGGCGACGACAACACCAGTGTTGAGAATGTCCGCACGCTACAGAAGACCTCCAGAGCGGCTAGGCTATGGCGAGAACTTTGTTCAAGGCTCATGACAAGTGTTCCCGCACCGAGCGTCGAGCTACTACGCTGTCGACATTCTGTTATTTCTTTTTTTTTTTTTCTCATTCCTTCAAAGAAAGGAAGATGTATCGTGTTTGCTAAGTCACGGGACACGCGCCGAACTTGTTATCGGGGCTCACACTCTGTTATCGTGACGCACGCTGGGCAGCAACTTCATCCTTTCCCTTTCTTTATCTTATTTTCATAACACCCTACAAATACGGTAACTGAATAAACAAACGTGTACTTATTCTGCCCGACACTGGCTCGTTCGTGCCTTCCATAGAAACACATCGAAACAGGGCAACATGCTTAACCTGAACTAAAACATTTTCCGACTCCTTATGTTTCCGAAGTCCGAACTTCGTTTGAGAGCGAGCTATATTATTATTAAAAAAGTCAGTGTTAGAAATTTAGGTTGATATATTACGAAATCGCTGTGTTTCTACTGACTAGACCAGCATTATCCCTTAAACATAAGCTTAGGTAACAATTATATATGCAGTTCCGAACTCAACGTGCAGTCTTATTGCTCCTGAGTTTATTCTAATGTTTCATTTTGGCAACGTGAATGGATAATTTGTACAGCGTCAGTGAAAGTTGTAAACAGTTCAAATATCACAATTGCTGACAAACGTGAATCGTTGATGAGGTCGTTGTTTTCTGGCTTTCATTATAATGTGTTTATGTGTTATACGTCATCCCAAATAGCAAAGTTCTTTATAACAGAAATTGGTATTTGTCTAGCAATTTAGAAACCAGGAAGGACAAGAAAGCAAGGGTTCAACCATATTTTGATATTTTTTGCAAAGAGCACTTAACTGCCAAACAAGCGCTAGTGTTAGACGTCACTGTCTGGTTCTCCGGTTGTCCCCTCGCGTCTTTGGACTTTAGTTCACGAGAAAATGCCAGATTTAGGGTTAATCCTTTCGTTGTTTGCTTTTCACGTGACAACTTTGGGCTTAAATTGCTAAACAAGTAAAAGAATTAGGCTTCACTCCCAACTGATTGTTACGTTGATGCGTGGGATTTTTGGCTCATGACTGGCACTTTGGCCATTATTTGGTGAGCCAAAGTAAAATTGTTGAAAAGTTAGTTAATGGTCCTTTGGCAGTAAAGCGCCATC